GGGGGGGGGGGGGCGGGGGTGTGTGTGCATGTATGTGTCAATTTAGGGGTGTTCCTGTCCCATCCTCATCAACAGTATGAGGCAAGTGTAATTGCCAATCCAGCGCAGATTAAACTGCCAACTGACTGGGGGAAAACATGTTGAGTCCTTTGGCCTTTAACAGCCATTTCACCTGCAGGAATCAGTTCTGTAGGCAAATCTTCTTTTCACTGCCGAGAAGTCGACATTATGGCCCCACTAATGATAGAAGATTAGATTGCTATTAAAGGCACAAGCACCAGATCAAAAGTTAGCCAGCTTATCTGGAGATATTTTACGTGGCTGCCTCTGAATGCACCCAGCACTGGCAAACAAAGGGTTAATTTTTCCCAGCAACTCTTTGCGTCCACCTTTCCAGGAGGCAGAACCACACCAGGCTGATCTATAAAGACAGCTACTGGAGTCCCAGCCCTAGTGAGTGCCAGGTGAGGTCCTGCCCATGCTGTTCTTAGGTTAGGCGTTCATTGCACAGGACACTTACGTATGTGGAACTGGCTGCCTCCGCAAGGGACAGCCTGGGGTTGGCTTTGACAGCTCGGCTGGAAGGAGCTCTCCAGCGAGTACCATTTCCCTCACCATGGCTGTGATTCAGCCCGGACGATCTGGGCCTTACCTGGAACTGCAGATGGGGTCAAGGCCCGACTCGGACTTTGATTCAGATTCCGACAGCCCAGCCTTCAGCAGCACCAAACCTGGCTCTGGTTACCCTGCCTGCTCCCAAGTGATCCACAGTGGTCACTTCATGGTATCATGCCCGCACAGCGACTTGGTGCCCCGTCGGCGCCATCACCAGGCTGAGCCAGAAGTCCCTGATCCTCCAAGTATTGATCCCACTCTCACACGCCTGTTTGAGTGTATGAGCCTGGCTTACAGGTGAGTCTGGGAGAGCCCCCTGGCTCCAGCCATGTCCAATTCGTTTGCCAGTTGGTTTTGAAATATGGCAGGTATCTGCAGTCTGGCCACGGGGTGTCTTTTCTCAGGAAACCTGGAGGTTCTGTTTAGGTGCAGGCGCCCTTTTCATCCAGGAGGGGAACAGTCGGGGAAGGCAGCACAAGGGATTCAATGTAAGAGAGACAGGACTGGATTAATTCCAGAATGGAGGTCCTGGTGGCTGAGAGGGTCAGAGGTAACTGAATTACCTGGCATCTCACGGTGGAAAAAAAAAATGACCCTTGTGCATTTCTTCTGCCAACCTACTCTGATTTTTCACTGACTTCTTTCTTTTTGAGCTGAAGTTCAGTTTCTTTATAATTCCTTGAGTTGCAGTCTCTCAGCTAGCAGAAAAGTTAGGCTGTCGGTAATGATGCGTCCTGAAATTCATCCTGTGACTGCACAATTGCAGTCTTGCAAAACTGCAGATTGTAAAGCTGTTGGGGTACAAGATTTAATGAGCTTCAGTGAAAATTTGACTCCAGATTATCACTCCCGTCCCCAAAATTTTAGAAACCTGTCTGCCGAAAAGCCCCCTCCCAGGTTGGGAAAGCGTTGGTTCAGTCTCTAGAACTCCTTATTTGCTCCAGAATCCAGAACCCAGATCAATGCATTTTCTCCAGTGCTGCTCTGTCAGCTGCATCTGGCTAATAACAGCTTTGCTCAGAGCATAATTTACTTTGGAACTCCATGCCACAGGACATTGTGGTGGCTCATGTAAGAAGGGGGAATTTCCCTTGCTGCTTTTTAATTACTGATTTTACCCATTGTGTTAAGCCATGGTTTAAACATCATAATCATCATCTCTGCTGCCCTTCCTAAATAGCTTAGGGCAGTTTACATTAACATTTAAACACACTATAACAAAATCACAAATTAAAATCCACACAAAATTGGTAAAATAAAAGGTGAAGTCTGCTATTGTCACCTTCTGAGATATTTTGCTTTTTTTTACTTCCCTGCCTGGCCTATATCCCTTGTTTCTTGGAAGTCTCCCTCCATGTGCTCATTGGGTTTAAACCTGCTTATCTTCCAACCCTGGGTATGATTGGTCAAATACTACCTTTTATTAAGGAAGATAGAGTTGGTTGGGATCTCAAATAAACTAAGCTATTTTGCCCGATGTTGATTTAGTCTGTTGTGTGAACTGATAGTCAGTGGTTACAAAGTCTGGTTCAAGTGTGAAAGGTAGCCTTTTCTCTCAGTCCCAGGGAAGAAGGAAAAGGATAAAGTCTTGTTACTGATGGAAACTTGTGGGGACCTGCTTCTGTCTTTGGCAAAAGGACTTTTGACATTTTTTTTCTATCGCCACTGAAATCTTTTGATCAGAGGGAAATAAATTATATGCAACCCTTTCTTTTAATCTAGTTTCAGCTCTTTCCCATAGAACTTTCGTGGTGAAATCACCCTGCGTCCTCCATGGCATTTTAATGAGAGTCCAGACGTAGTTATTCATTTGAATCCCTCCAGTGTTATTTTTTTTAGATTTTTTTATCCCGCCTTTATTATTTTTATAAATAACTCAAGGCAGTGAACAGACCTAATACTCCTTCTTCCTCCTGTTTTCCCCACAACAACAACCCTGGGAGGTGAGCTGGGCTGAGAGAGGGTGACTGGCCCAAAGTCACCCTGCTGGCTTTCATGCCTGAGGCGGGACTAGAACTCACCATCTCCTCTTTTCTAGCCTGGTGCCTTCACCACTAGATCAAACTGGCTCTTTTTTTTCCCCACAAGATCTTCCACCTTTTTTTAACCCAAGAAAGGATGAAAAGAAAACCGCAGAGCATTTGTTTCTCAATGGCCAACCAGATGCCTCTGAAGCATTTGCAAGCAAGGGACAGGCATATCTCTCTCGTGCCATTGTTCCCTTGTACTGGCAACACTGGGTCTTCAAGATAGATAGCCCTTGGCAGATGAATTTATCCAGTCCTCTTTTAAAGCCATCCAGGTTAATGGCCATCACCACATCTGAACCATAATGAATTCCACAGATTAATTGTGTGCTGCGTTTGTTCTAATTCTCCTTCCAGCCAGCTTCATTGGATGACTTCTGCTTCCAGTGTCTGAAAAGAGGGGGGGGGGAAATACGCTTTATCTATGCCATACCCTTCAATCAGGTTCCCCTTCAGTCTTCTTTTTTTCCAGGTGAAAGCACTCCAAATGCCCTATCCTTTTCCTCTAGGGTAGAAGTTCGAGCCCCCTGATCATTCTTTGTGCTTGCCCTCTCTTGCCCTCTCATTTGGATTCATACTGTACATTGTGCTAAGGCTTATTAAGAATTTGTTACAGTTAGTTATTTTGTGGAACTAGCCATTGCAATTTATAGACCACGGCTTAGTGTGTGGTGTTGCCAACCAATTCTGGTTTGGTTTAGGTCAATTTGTGATCCTTATCCCTCTTTCTCTGAAAGAGACAGCATCATTCTCTTGCCCAAAAATTATGGCCTTGAATGTTGCTGTTCAACCTGACTAGATCAAAAGTCTGCTTGTATCAAGAAGGTCAGAAAAGTAGCATTTATTTTGTAGCAGACCATTCTCACCAACCCACTGGCAGCTGGGACAGCCTTAGTTGCTGGGGTATTGCAGCAAAGATGATGCCATTCTCTCTGCTTCCAGAGGCTGTTGACTTCTGGACATGCTGTTCTCAAATCTTGTTTACCTTGATCAGTGGGGCGGCCCCAGCACAGGCAAATTCGGACATAGAAACACTGTGAGGACACCCCCCCACCCCCGCATACACATACCAGTAATCTCACTGCTGCCTAGGCACAACTCTTTCTGCTTTGATATACACGGTGCTCTCCACTGCACCCACCCACCCTTTAAAGAAAGGGTATGACAAGAATGAATATGGAGAAGATGACTCACTCTCCATTCATACTATGGAACTTGGGATCAGCTGGTTAAACTGACTGGGCAGAGGATGTACTCTTCAAATAGGTGGCCTGGTGGGTGTCGTGTGGTTGGATCCTAGCGGTGGTTAATTCTTCCTTGAGAGAGGGGGTTGTTCCACCCCCCCCCCTTAAGGAGGCATTGGTTTGTCCCTTCCTCAAGAAGCCATCACTGGATCCTGCCATACTGGACAATTTTCATAAGTACCGAACCTCCCCTTTTTAGGGAGTTGCTACGTTGTACACTGCCCAGAGTTATGTTTTTGTGAGCTGGGCAGCTATATAAATACGATAAATAAATAAATGCAAGCGTATACATAGTGAAGGTGGCCTTGGAGTAACTTTATGCAGCCTTTATATTAATTTTAGAAGCTCTTTGCAAATGATGAATTCTAAACTCTGATGAGGATAAGAACTTGTGCCTTCCCAAGTTCCTGAAGTACAACTCCCATCTTTCCTTGGTTATGCTGCCTGGGGCTATTGGGAGTTGTAGTTCTGTCCTTTCCCTTATAGTCTTATCATAGGGGGAGAGAGAAGAGGATATTAGAAAGAGAAAAGTTGGGTTCCCACAACATGCCAGACAAGGGTAAAATGGCATTAGGTAATTTGTAGTTCAGCTTTCTTTCTAACATCTCTGATATGGCGTATTTGAATCCAGCATATTATGTGGACACAGTACTGTGTTTTGCTAATCTGGGTTTGTCATGTTGTTTGACATGAGTGTGAGAGAGAAAAGAGCATAGGAAAAAGAGGTTGTCAGAAAGAGAGAATTGAAAGTCATGCCCACTTTTGGATTTCACTCCACCCACCTCTTACTTCAGTCACCATTGTCCTGTGGCCCTAATAGATTATCTCCCACTCCCAGAGTATGTGAACCCCATTCGATAAAAGGCGGTCCTTCCCTAGCTTATGGCATTCATTTCCATAAGAAGTTGTGATGGCTATGTTCCTTGTAGACTGAGTGCTTGAGAATACATTTACTAGCAGCTGTGAAAGCAGAATGGAGCTTCCATGATGAGAAGTGACACTTTTCTAAGGGTCATTAGAAAGTGGAGACATATGATCAGTTTTGCTTCCTGACATGCTTATGATCTTCCTAGAGCAGTGTTTCTCAACCTTGGCAACTTCAAGATAGTGTATGTGACTTCAACTTGCTGGCTGGGGAATTCTAGGAGTTGAAGTCCACATATCTTAAAATTGCCAAGGTTGAAAAACACTGTCCTAGAGGAACAGAATGGAGGGCTGGATAATCATATCTAATTCTTATCCAACAGGATAGCACTAATTAGTCATTGGCATCAGGAAGCCAGAGCTAAGCCTAAGAAGCAGGGCTTTTTCATTGAGGCAAAGGCCAATATGGTAGAGTGGTTAGGACTGGGGACTAATTCTGGGGAGATCTAGGTTCAGATCTACACTCAGTCATGGAAGTTGGCCCAGTGATCTTGGATAAGTCCTTCTACCCCAACCCTGACCAATCTGACAGGATTGTTGTTGCGGAGAAGAAAATGGAAAAATATGGTGTGCCTGGCTTTAAACTCCTGAAAGAAAAGAAAGATAGAAATCTAATATACTTTTTTAAATAATTCATTTTAATGGAGGAGAGTTCCATTAAACTCTTTGAGGAAGTGTGTGGTAACTTTCCCTAAACCAGAATAACCTCATGTAATGCTATGTGGGAATGACCTTGGGAGACAGGAGGAAGAGCCGCAGCCTGGACAACATTCTAATAAACAAAATTTGAGTCCGAAGGAGGAAGACTGGCGAAAGCGTCTCAGAAGGGACCCTCCCTAATTTTTGGGAGAGTAAAAGTGAAGGAAGGGAAGGGTACTTTCAGACTTGCAAGATTATGTTAATGTAACCTTACAATAAAGATAGAGCTAGTACTCCTGGGTGTGCTTCTTGTCTGGACTACCTCACAAGGCTGACATTACAGTGAAGGCCTGCATATTAGGCAGAAAAACTTCCAAACCAGAAGAAATAGGGGAGGGGGGATGACAAAACATGTCTCATCACGATGCAAATCCTGTGATTTATGTACATGTGTGTGACACTG